TTTATAAACCAAACCTACTTCTATTTCTATTGAGTTAAAATTGAACTGTCTTCATTCCAGTGAAGAGATATTCTCTATTAAGCCTTAAGATCTTTACCTTAATTCGTTATTAGGATTGAAGAAAGTTAATAAAGATATTTAATTTCCATTCAGTAAGTTGCTAAAAAAACAATATTCAATCCATAAAATGGAAAGGGTCTATAATGGTGTTACCTGTGCCTATTTTAGTTAGGTGCTTTTCCTTTTCAATATCATTGTGTTCCAAAAATAAAAAACGGAGTATGCTATTATTTTTGGATAAAAGTTTTTAAACCATTAAATATCATGTTATTTGATTTGTTCATCTATTTTAACAAATACGATACTTGCAATAATTCAAAATAAATTTGTTTTAAAAGTTTTTAACAATTTTTTAAAAATACCATAGAATAATTACCGGCATGAAGCTCTCTATCGATTGTTTATCTCCAGACCGTAGATCCTTGGGAGTCTACTACCTTCGGAACTCCACCAAAGCGTTCCCCTTACGCTGCCGTATCTTATGTGTTACAGGTTTTTGTTCTAATTATGCCCAGAAATCAATATTTGATAGGGTGTCCCAAATATGGCCACTAAATTCATAAAATTTTCTTAGACATCAGTTTAGGTAAACTTGAAGCCGCGATTGAAATGACTCTGTTGTTTTAATAAGATTAATATCTTATTTCTATTGTTATCACATTTAGTTGTTTACTTAAATAAACTAACTCAACTAATGTCAGCACTTAATATTGTTACTCACATACCATAAAGTTTTTTTTTTCTTTTAATGATTCAGCTAAAAAATTAGCTTTCTATTTAAAAGATATTTAATGGACTATAAACTGGTGTGATAAGTGCTAACTAAACAATACAGTTTAGTATATTGAAGTATTTAATTAAACTATTTTCAAATATTTGTTTCTTTAACATCCTTTATTCTGATTAAAATTGAGGAGGTAGTATTTTATCTACTATGCGTTTATTTTATTTTTTGCATCATACTTTTGTTCAACAATGTTAATACGGATCACCCTGTAAATAGTAAACAAAACGACTTTAATCTGAGAAAGAAATCTGAGAAAGTTCGGCACAAGTTGTCTTTTTGTGGCTTGTTTCCATTTGATTCATTTGATTCATTGGAATCAATATTATTAAATACATACACATATTTCGATACTATTCTACGAATCAGGATTAAGATATTTTTGAAAATTATGATACTGGACTCTATAACTAAATGAAGTATTTAAAGTAAAATTGTTTAAAGTTTTAGCAAGTATTCCAACTATTCCACATTATGATTGTCGTAATATGCGAATGTTGAAATATCAGCACAATAGCGGAATAATCCGCTAACACTCCAGGAAGCTAAGGACCTCTATATGAATATGAAAATCTATTAAATGAAATACTACTTCTAAATCTAATACTAAGATCTGTTTTAAATTGAAACTAAGCTATAGAAGCTATAGAAAGAATCAGAAACGTCAATATGAATGGTTAAGAGAAAACTCATCGCTCAACGTTCAAAAAAATGCATTAATTTTAAATGTAAAGATATTAATGCTTCCAATTAAGTATAAAGAATATTAATGACTTCTAAATTATATAAATTTGACTGGATGGATTTAGTTACTACTATTCTGTACTAGGGGTTCTTTCGAGGAATGTGGTAGCAAAACGGCGAAACGCTCTAAATTACTTGCAACCACTTTTCAAACACAATAACCTTAGTGTGAAGAACAGAAAGCTGACGTACAACCAGAAAATCAGACCAGCACTACTACTTGAGTGTGTCGGGTATAGCAAAGCTGCCAACTCTACTATCCAGAAGCTGCCAGTTGCTCAGAATCGGGCTCTCCAAAGACATTTCAAAGTGCTTTGAAGCTATTCGCAAAAACCGACAGGCTACCCTACATAGTACTATCTAATCTTAAAACAAAAGCAAGAAGCTTTTGATGAATACATAAATTAGTCAGTGAGATGGGTGGGACTCTGCGAAAACTCCCAAGATATAAAATAGTAAAAGTACCTAGATGCACTAACTCAAAGTAGACTCAATAAGAACATGGAAATTATCTAATGGCCTGCAACCAACAATTAATGAGCTCTATACCAATAACATAGATACATAGCCCTATGCTTCACGAGAAGAAGAGGACTACAGTAAGTAAGTAAGTAAACCACAAAATAATGTTTTACAATTAATATACTATTTTATTTAAGTTTAATAATAAATTTAATGATATTCAAAAAATTCTTCAACCTTTCTGTACTACACTTTACAATGCATGAGATGTTTTCTATATAAGCACGGAAGTTACATATTGTATTAAATTCCTAAATCCACATGCACTGATTTTGCAAGAAGTTATGAAAATGGAATAAATTATAAATTCAGCAGTGAGGGATGCAGATGAAGCTGTCACCTGAACTTGTTGCTTCTCAACTTGATACCCCATGACAGCTGTGACAATTTGCAAATTTTTATTAACAAAATATTTCATGCAGGACGACACATTTTAGGCTTCCGTAGAATATTTAATAAACGTAAAATTATTTGGCGTGAAGCAGTGACAATATTGAATTTTATTTCAGTTATTGTGACGTAAAATTTTGTATTCAAATGTAAATTGAATTTTTGAGTGGGTAGCAGAGAGATTGCATATTAAAATTAAAATTTATTGCTTTCGGGTATATATGCACTGTAATGGAAAAATATATTATAAATCATGATTTTGAAAACTGTTATATATTTTAACTTATGAAATATCTTTTAAGTATAATTAACTCAAAGCAACTTCATATATAATAAGTCATCATATAATCTTTGTATAGTATCTGATGTTAAGAAGTATAAATATTTATACTTGGTAATATTCTACCCAAGTAAGTCAATCGTGTTGGAAATCGAAACAAATTGAAAAACTGCAAGTCTTTTCTATTTGGGTATTGAGTATTCATTGATGAAATTATACTTTTTCCGGAATAAACATAAAAAATAATAATTCATTCTGTCTAGATAAATTTTATAAGCTACTGGGAATGATATATGGTATATGCGAAAAGTATAACAAAAATAGAATTTTGAAAAATATATCTGTTTTACGAAAAAAACTTATTTCTAAAACATAGAACTCATTTAATTTCTGCAAAATTTTATGAAAAGTATAGAAAGTTATAAAATATCATTTAAATGGCATGTCTATTGTATGGAAGAACGAATTTTATATTTCTAGTACATTCTCAAGTGTATTTGAATAGGTAAACGGTATTGAAATAGCACACAAAAGCTTAAGTGCTTTCAAATTATTTCAGAAAAAAAAAGGTTGAGTTGGCATAAATTCAAATCCACAAGAGAAAAATTAAATATGATAGGAGTTAAATATTTCTTGTGCTTTTTGAAGTTATGGTATAATATAATAGCCAACGAGTGTCTAAGAAAGCATAGAATATATTACAATAATTATCAGAAAGAAATTAAATAAATTTAAAATTAAATACAATACTCAAATTTTTTTTTTTGGTAACTTTCCTTATAGTCAGATGAATTTATTATTGAAGAGATATATCTAATAAAACAAACAAATGTTTCCCAAGACCATAAAACCACTACTGACGGTGGTTTAATACTTGAAACAATTGTATGAAAGAAGATAATATTTAATTAATATTGTCAATATTATTCACTACTATATTACAAAAAAAGTTTTAAAATTTTTACTTAAAAATGATGAGTATATAATTGAATTTAAATTTAAATTTCTTTCAATGACTAAATTTTTAGTAAAAAAATCAACAACTACACCTACTTGGCAAGATTTATTCCCTCGAAATCTACCTATAAACATGATATCTAAAAATATTGCATATAGAATTTTAAATATGAATGTATAGAAATGATTTTTAATATTAACAAGCTATTTTCTTAATTAAAAATTATTACAAAAATATTTTCTATTTAAACATTTTTATTACTGACATAGTAATTATGCTAATAAAACCTCATAGAAAGTAGCGGCGAAACATTTTTGATATGATTTACCATAAATTTCTATTTCACTTCTGCTTGTCTCTATCAAAAACTTGATGAAAATATTTACGACCAACCAGCTTTAGAGAATTGATAGTGAATTCAACTGTATTTTCAACTGTATCGTAGGTTATATCAACTATCACTAATCGCGTTTAACTACTCTCATCTGCAATCACAACAGAAGTATCTATACTATCTGTACCTGCTCTCGAGCAACTACTTTTATCTATCCAATTAACCTCGGGCAACTACTTTTATCTATCCAATTAACCTCGGGCAACTACTTTTATCTATCCAATTAGCCATTATTGATATGTGTCTGAATAAATTATTATATACAAACATTTTTTTCGTTATTTGGAATCATTTTTAGTGGGTTACTTTAAAAAACTAATAAATAAATTATATTATATTCAATATAGCTGAAATACATATACCTAATTGAATTATTAGAATTATAATATACAAAAATAAAATGAATTATTAATTTTCTTAAAACTCAGATGTGTTAACCTTTTCGTATGACCGTTTCGTCTTCACAACCTTTGACTGAATTTTGCCAGCTATTATTTAATCTACTGACTATCGATTTATACAAAAAATGTAATAACAAAATCATTTTCATCCATAAAAAATCGAAAAGAATAAAGAAACACGGTTTAGATGTTATACCTAAATATTTATGTCTTATATCCTATTAAGTAAAAACAATTAACTTAGTATTCTTCTGAAGAACTTTAGTTCTACCAGTAATGAATGAGTTTTTGAAAAAATATTGCCAGTATCAAGTTTAGATGGTACTTGCGACCCAAAGGGATCCAATTATGAATATGTGTTATCATATAAAGAAAAACTCAGAGGTATTTTTGCAACAAGACACTTCTCTATTTTGAAGTTAATTTTACAAATCAAAACAAAATTTAAAGTTTAAAAATTTACTACTTGAATTGTAAAAAAATCTTTTCATTAACGTAATTTTTCATCAATAAGAGCTTCACTTTCCATTGCTTCCAGAAAAAATATAATTTTTATCAACTAAACAAAAAGTAGTAGATTATACAAGCTCATCTGAAATGAAACATATAAGCAAATATTAATTTCTAATGATTACAATAATATGATATAACATTTATTTATATAATAATATAAAGTACATTTCTTCCATTATATATACACTTAACTCTATATAACATATTCAGATATTATACATATATAATATGAACTCCTTATGAACTCAAAAATTGAAACCCAGTCTCCTTACTTAAACTAGATAGCAATGCTAATGTATTACAAAAATTTTTACTTACAAACTCTAATCTTACTTTCTTACTCTAAGCGTAATGTAAACACTCAATATTCATAATTTATTTAAAAAAATACCTGCAAAGCATGTCTTTTGAACCTCTATTTTTCTTTAATTAATTACGCTGGCAATTGACATGTTGCAATCTACGTGGACGCCAAGGTCTCCGAAAAGTAGGCAAAAATCTCCTGATTAAAACAAAAGCCAAACTTATACCAAAATTGATAAAAAACTCATTCCATGAATTATTCATCCTCGGCATTCGTGGAAAAAGCATTCTAAAAAATGTTGATTAATAGAAAACTCATATATAAGAAAAGGAATAATTATACCTCCATTCAGTTAACTCAAGAATAGCTTCAGATAAAAATTGTATTAATCTGTCCATTTTGTTGAAATAGTAGGAATTTACATTAGTAGTAGTACAGATCGTATACATAAATTTTATATATACACATAAAAAAGTTAAAAAAACTAATTTTAAGAAAACCAGACTTTAAGTATTCGTAAGAAAATTTTTATTGAACTATTTAATAATTATGTATACATACTTCTATGTCAAATCTTTAAAATTTCTATGTTTACTTTGTTACTTTTATTGTATCGACTCAACATGAAAAATAATGGACTTCAAAATTTTTAAAATACTCTAATATTTCCATTAGTATATTTTAAGTTTCACGATGGATGTGTTGCATATAGCAAAGCTACCAATTCTACTATCCAGAAGCTACATATTCCTCAACGTCAGTCTCTCCGAAAACTCTTCAAAGAGCCATGGTACATTCGCAGGAGCAACATGCTAAAAGACCTCAGAATAGAGCCGGTCAAAAGAAACACATAAGCGACAGAGCCCTGAAGCTATATGCGAAAACTGTCAGGCTGTCCTACATAACACTATCTAATCTGAGAGCAGTCACTAGCCGTACGGGCAGTATGCAGATCATAGATTAGTTATCGAATAATCAGCAAAGCTTGTGAGGAATACATAAATCAGTCATAGAGAAAGGAAGAACTCTGTAGAAATCCCCCAGTTGCACTAACTCGAAATATCTATATGAATAGATATTCAGTTTCATCCGAACCCTCTTGAAAACAGCTTGACATGTATTCATTGCTAATGCCTCTTTAGTTCAATAGTTTTTATCAAATCGCAGTTGATATCAATTGCCACAGCTATCAATAGACAATGATAGCACTTGTGAAGAGATTAATATTATACAACTACTTGCTAAGGGTCTCACGTAAGGAACTTTTTTTCAGAATAAAAACTTTTTTATCATGTGAAGTAGAGATGTTTAAATTCTTACTGTTAATGAAATATTTAAGTAATTTTAATGTAAGTAATTATTTTATTAAATCTTTGAAGTAAGATTTTACTTATTTATTTATTTGTGAATTAAGTTTAAAATTAATTTCAAAGTTAACTAAGAATAAGGGACTTAACTACTAGGTCCTTCGCCCTGTGAGAAGAAGTAAGATTTAAACTCTTACTTCAAATGAAATACTACGTAATTAAGTAAATGATTAATGAAGTAAATAAACACATTTTGCCAGAAATCAAATCAAAATTATCAGAAAATTAATTGAAATTGTTACAAAATATTACAGTCCAATGAGTATAAACTTCTGACATTTTTGGTACAATGGTGTTAACCTTCGACATGTTGTGGCTTAATAATTTGACACGTTTGGGAGAATTACTAAAAGAAACAAATATTTCATCTATCAATAAATTCAAATAAATAAAAAAGAAAAAAGATTAAAGCGAAAAAAATAATTGATGAAAACTGATGATTTGTAGGAGTTAAAAAAGAAAAAAGAATCAATTTTCACGCATTAGCAAACTCTTGTGAGTTTTAGAAGGAACTCTTATATATCCATTTACTATACTTTTTATATATAAATTGATAGTGAAATACTCGGCAGCATTGTTCAATTATTTATAAAATATAAATAGATCAGCAAATTGAAAAAACTAGTTAAGGTAGTAGTTAAGTAGCTAAAGACTGACAGGCTTACCAACGCCGTGTTATTAAATTTCAAAATGGTTACAGACTAAAAGGGCAGGTATGCAGTTCTGTGGTCAATCATTGCTTTGTCTGATGAAGTGATAAATAATAATGCAGTCAAGGCGTAAAGAGCGGTTTTGGAAAAACCCCGCAGTAAACCTCATTAGTAGATAGTAAAAGTGTTTAAGTGAACTGACTCAACTATGCTTAACATAACAAAGGTCAAAATATCTTAATATTTAACAGTGTAAAAAAAAATAGAATAAAACTTTACATTATAAAAGTAGTGATGTATCACATATTGGAATTTAAATTGCTATAACAAAATGATTTGACTTTAATAAATCTAATTAAATTAACTCAAAATTCTACATTAAAATTAAAGCAGTTTATGTTCTCTTTACTTACATGAAAATTTAATATTAACATACATATATTGCCTATATCTTTCGACTTCAAACCGTCATATTGTTGTTAAAACTTCACTTTTTCCCATATCAAAAAATCAACTTCAGTGACGTTTTTAATTGACACATGTAATTGTGATATATTCTTTACTATTTGCGTAGGTAAAATTTGAAAAAACTGTTTCAATCAAATTTTTACTAGATTTATTTAGGCGAATGAATTTTTTTGCTTCAAAGTTTCTACTACAATGAACAATTTCATTATTAAGTTCAATTAAAAATATTATATCAGTGCTTTGAATTTTGTTTTAGAAACTCTGCAATAAACAATATTATTAATAAAATACTGAAATAAATCTAAAAGCATTCTTTAATTAAATCAGTATATAAAAGAAAATATTTTTAATACATTTAATTTAAACTAGAATGGACTAAAATACATTTATTAATATAACACTCATTAATGTCACAATTTCATTATTATCCATTTATGTTATCAAAATTTGAAATTATGGATGTAAAGCTTAATACTTATATTTTCAATATTATATATATTTAATACTTCAACTACTAGGAGATGCATAGGGCCGCTATTATTATTTATTGCGGTTTCGTTAATCAGTTGATTTAAGATTGGCAGGTGATTGGCCTACAGACCGACAGAAAATATTGTGACAGTACTTCTTTAGAAGGCATACGAACGCCGCTGTTGACCAGTTACGGCTCCTTCGCCGCCATCTCTTTTACAGACTCCTGTCTAAGCATGCAACTCTATCCCCAACCTACGACCTCAAAACATCTAGTGTGTAGTCTGCGGGTAAGAGTTTCTAAGGAAGTGAATTTCTTCCGACTGTTTGGTATTTTATTTCCCCCCTGCCACCCGATAACGGGAAAGACATCCACTATACGCCACCTGCGACGCGTCCTCTAGGGGTTGCAGTCTCCCCCGAGGACAGGGGGATATTTATTTTTAATAAATATATTTAATTGTCGTGATTATAACAATGTGCTATACAAATATATAAAAGATTATTTATTAAAATTATTTGATTAATGTCAATTTATACGTAGCATGTAAGCCACAAGTAAATTTATTTGTTATTACTTTATGTGAAACATTTTTCAGACATATCGCATGGCACACAATTTATCATAATCATTTACTTAATTAATATATTATGAATTGTGTGATGCATTAACATAGGAGATCTAAAGGATGAAGAATAAAAAAAATATTTTATATCGTTAAAATTCCTTTCTTAATAATTTTAATTTAATAATTCTTAAATGCACAAGGGTCGTTAAACCTTTTTTATAAAAATACAACTATTGTTTGAATTACTCTTTAACTTGAACTTGTATCCATTAATAATGTCTTGAAAAATCTATTTCTTGGAAAACAATAACAGTGTAAATGCTTGAATAACAAATACAAAAATTCCCAATTCTTCATACATAAATAGCTGTAAGGAGGAAATAGATCATCTTTAGGGAAAGGTTCAAATAAAAACACTAAACTCGCTTCAAAAAAACGACAATGCTGATAGTTTATTTCAGGTATAGTCATATTAATTACTCAATATTCTTTCCACAAGACCAGCCATTTTCATATAGTGAGTGGAAAGCATCCCAAGCCGCAGTACAAGACTTGAACCCACTATACCCATCTTTTGGAATGAGTTAAGAAGACCTCAGCTATCAGACTTGGAAATCATCTAACTGAGGCCCAGTAATCAGGGAAAAAATGAAAAAAAAGTTTGTGTTTACAAATTTATCTGAGCTAATAAGGCCAAAAATTCCATTAAGAGTATTATTTAAATTATAATAGTGAGTATGAAGAATATTTTTTGTAATTGGCAATGCCAAATTTATGCGCAAACCAATTGTCTATTTAAATATCGAAAATATAAAAATTGAAACCTTAACGACACATTTAGATGTATATATACATTTATATACCAATGTCGTGTTTAAACAAAAGAGAATCAAATTTAATTGCTTATTTTTCAGATTTTTGTTGTATGAAAATATATGACATTTTTTTTTGTTAAGTAACGATGAGATATATACATTAAAGTATATGTACAATGATATTCGTTAGTATAAATCGCATCAGCAGCTAATAGATTAATTAAAATTAATAATTGTCAGTTTGTATTTATTTGTATGATTTACATTTGCAAATAAAAAAACTTCTGGTTTATATTTTTAAATTCCCTTGTGCATATATATTAAATTTCATTAAAAAATTCATATTGTTGTTCAGTGACATTTTTAAAAAAAATAATATTTTTTAATAAAAAAAAATCAATTTCATGCAACAGCATATCGTCACTTGGGATAACGTAGTTAGTGAGAATTCATTTCATAAGCTTGTAATGATATTTGCCCAATTAAAATGCATCAATCAAATGCACATTTTCGATTTATTATCCTAGCAACGTTTTGCATAAGTGGAGCAAATTGCTGTTCTCGATATTTGGTCAGTTAACCACCAATTAACAAAATTTTGTAAATCAGTTATCCATGAAAAGCACTGCAAAAAAAAAACTGCAACATTGCTGAAAAATGCTTTTAAAGTACAAAATATACATTCATTTTATATTTATAGTTGCAGCCTCAAACGGATATGTATTTTTGGATCACGTATTTTTATTCAAAGCGGAAAAATTTTTAAAGCATTGAGAAATGTTAATTTAAAAATTTTAAAGATTTTTTACAACATAAAGTGTGAGTAGTACTATAAATATTTTAACATTGGAGTTATATTCAAACTTACTTAAGTATTTAGTTATCCTGTACAGATGTACATCATACTTTGCTGCAATGGTGGCTATCTCCATCTGTGGCTTGCTATTACCAAATGGTAGTCCGATGTGACATTATGTCGTTTGTTATTTGATACCTCTCTCATAGATACGAATACGTGATAAGAGAGTGGTAATAATCTTTGTTAGGCCCCTTTCTTTTAATTGCTTTCTGAAGCTACAGTTATATCTATTGGAAAAAGTAATTATTTGTTGAATCACAACGCTGATGTGGTTCTTCGTCCTTTTACTGGTACTCCCAATTTTTT